GGGGACAGCTTGAGGCTCCATCTCAAAAAAAAAAAAAAAAAGAATGGAAGAAAAAGTATCCAACGTACTCAGCCCTACTATGAAACTAATTTATAGCTTTCATAGGAAAGCTATAACCCAGTTATAGCCCAAGAATATGGGGAAAGGGGATGGGGTGGAGGGAGGGTGATTGGTGGGATCATGCCTATGGTTCATCTTATAAGGGTACATGTGAGTCTTTCTAAATGTAGAATATAAATGTCTTAACACAATAACTAAAAAAATGCCATGAAGGCTGTATTAACCAGTTTGATGAAAATATTTCAAATTGTATATAAAAACAGCACACTGTACCCCATGACTGTATTAATGTACACAGCTATGATTTAATTAAGAAAAAAAAGAAGAAGAAAAAGAATAACAGAGACATGCTAAAGTTTAAGCAAAACTGGTAAAGAATCAGTTACTAGGATAAGAATAAGCTGCCTGGTGCAGAGAGGGACAGGACAGGAGTGTCAGGGAAGAGACCTGGGCAGGATTTCTCTCATCCACTTCATTCATCTGTCTGCTTTTGGGATTCCCCTTGCAGGCTGCTCCCAGGAATCTTGTCACCCACTCTCTGTTTACCCCCAGAGATTGGCTATGGACGAGCTGGGGGTTCACACCTATTGTCTCTCCCCACCCGGGGCAGGTTCTGACTGGCTCCTCCTGGGCTCGCAGTTTCCCTCAGTCCAGTTAGTTTTGGCCCAGGGGAAGGTCCTGTCCTTTCTGTCCAGTTTACAACTCTGTGTGTGAGTGACCCTGTGGATGGGGAACAGGCAGCTCCTGTGGAAAGGGGGATCCTTGTGAATAAAACAGGAGTGCCAGAAGGAATCTGCTCCCAGAGGCCCCGTAGGCACAGTGACTTTTGTCCAACAGGAGAAGCAAAGGGTTCAGCGTGGAGGCTTGGGAGGGAGACGGGACTCTTTGAAGCTCATCTTTGTGCTTTATTCCAGGGAGGGCGAGGCAATTGAGGTGACGGGGCATATCCTGCTCCTCCCTCCAGTCGGATTTGTGGGGTGGTGGTTGTGACTGTGGAAACAGCGCAGGTACAGGGTCAGCTGTTACTTGTTAGCTGTGTGTCCTTGAGCATCTGTGAGATGGGGATGGCAGCTCTCTCTGAGGACATGCAGTGAGCACTAGGTAAGGTGGCTAATGTGTGAGCCCTTTGTGAACTCTAAGTAAGCTAACAGTGGCAGTATTGATAATCGGTCATCATGAAAACAGCTGATGCAGTGTTGTGCTTCCTGCTGGACAGGCACTAAGGCGCTACACACTTCAGCTCACTTAATCCTCATGACTTCCCGGTAAGGTAGGTGTTAGCATCATTCCCATTTAATAGAGAAGGAGCTGGAGGCACAGGGAGGTTAAGTAACATTTCCAAGGTCATAAAGCTACTGAAGCACAGAGGCTTCTGGCCCTGTCCTCTGCCTTCTCACTGGCCCTGGTGTGGCATCCCATTCATTCTCATTGTTGCTGCCTTTTTCTAGATGTTTCTAGACACTCCACAATAGTTTTTCTACATGTCTACTCTGATTGTATTTGCTTTTTATTTATTATTTTTTTGAGATAGAGTCTCACTCTGTTGTCCAGGATAGAGTGCAGTGGGGTTATCATAGCTTACTACAATTGTGCTCAAACTCCTATGTCAAAAGATCCTTTTGCCTCAGGCTCCCGAGTAGCTGGGACTACAGGCATGTGCTACCTTGCTTGGCTAGTTTTTCTGTTATTTGTAGGAATGGGGTTTTGATGTTGCTCAGGCTGGTCTCCAAGTCCTGGCCTCAAGCAGTCCTCCTACTTTGTCTTCTCAGAGTGCTGGGATTACAGGTGTGAGCCACCACACCTGTCCTGATCTTATTTGCTTTTAACCCACTTTCCCAGTTCTTCTCTCACTCATGGGCTAAACTTAGAATAAAACAGACCTTGGCCTATATCTTAACCAGACCATTTTCTGTGTAGGGACAAGTCACTACACCTCTCTGATTCTTAGTTTTCTGACGTGACCCTCTCCTCTTCACTGTTGTCACTTCTGGTGCTTCCTTAGGGCTATGTAAGGGAACTGGCTCTCGAGGCCTGGGGGACAGCACGATGGGTGTGTCTCTGTGTCACAGGCCTCTGCTGCTGGGGTTCGTGCCCTGGGGTCACGGGAGTGGCACAGCACTTGCTTTCTTTCCGGGTGCTGGTGAGGGTGCTGTAACAAGCGTGGGGCATGTTGCGTTCTCTGCCACCTCAGGGTGCTGGCACTGATGAAGCCTGCCTGATTGAGATCCTGGCTTCCCGCAGCAACGAGCACATCCGGGAGTTGAGCAGAGCCTACAAAGCAGGTCAGGCTGGTGCCTGTTGCCCTCTGTAAATCTCTCTGCTTCCTGGGCCTTGGCCACACCCCTCCCAGGGCCTCTGATTCCTTCCTGGTCTTTTTTATCACTCTGTCTCCTGTCACCCCCCCCAACACACTGAGCCTTGACCCAAGACTCAACCCTGCCTGCTGTGTACACATGGGGCAGGTGACTAAGGTGAGAGGCCTGAACAAACCTCTTGGGTGTTGTTTGGGACAAGCTGGACCAGAGGCCAGGTCAGTGTGGTGGTCACAAATTTGTAAGTCCCTGGAAGGCCACACGGGCCATCTGTGTCCTGTGCTGAGACCCCCAGGCCTTTCTCTTCACCAGTGCCAGCTGGCGACTGTGTCTGCAGGGGGCAGCTCCATACGTGGTGTTCAAGGTGGACCTTCTGGGCTTCTCCCTTTCAGAATTCAAGAAGACCCTGGAGGAGGCCATTCGAAGCGACACATCAGGGCACTTCCAGAGGCTCCTCATCTCTCTCTCTCAGGTACCTTTCCCATGACAGGAAATCATAGAGCCGGGGCTGAATAGTGAGGCCAGGGAAAGAGATGGGGAGGGAGTGGGCTTGACACTGTACAACCTGCTTCCTTTCAGGGAAACCGGGATGAAAGCACAAATGTGGACATGTCTGTTGTCCAGAGAGATGTCCAGGTGAGTGTGAGGCCAGGCCAGCCACCCCACCGGGCTTCCTAAACTGGGGGTGTTTCCTACTTTTTCTTCCTTCACAAGAGAGGTGCTCTGGGATGGAAAAAGCAGTCAAGTGGGTTCCAGGCTCCACAAATTTCAGACATGTTCTATTGTATGTCAGCTGTGTGGCCTTGAGCAGGTCACCCAAACTTCATTTGGGCTTCAGTTTCGCCATGTATAAGAGGAATGTGTGAGATGGTAAACATTGCCATGGTTCAGAGATCACAGTATGGACATGGGATTTCATGTGACTTAATACTCTCCCCTTCTTTCCTTGTGTATACCATTATGTTCACAAAGAGACAGAATTCGCACTTGCCTGTTAAGCTTTTCAAGGTTTGAGCCTAGAAACCACCTATCACATTAGTTGCAAAGCTTTGAAATTCTGCCCTTGTCCCCATTGTGAGCTGCAGATAAAAGGGGGTTAAGTCCAGGCATCTGACCTCCTTTCTAGAGACGTGTTCTGGCTGGAGAGAGCCTCAATTTCTTGCTGCGATGGAACTGGTCTTCTATGCCTCATTTGTTCCCTCTTCATTGCTTCTGCTCTTCACTCAGGAGTTCACTAGAAACTGCCAGTGGTCTGATCATCCCCACCACCTGTCAGGTTGGAACAGGACCTTGTAGAATGCCCACTTGTTAGGGCTGGAAGAGAGCTGCTCTTCTTGTTCGGTCCTTTTACTTTCCAGATGAGGAAACTGAGGCTCAGAAAGGTTGAGCAGTCCACCCAGAGAATTCTGGGGCCAGAGTCCAGACCCATGGCTCTGACAGCTGCCTTAGTGTCCCCCTGGCCTGTGAGGTTCATTCTCATTTCTGGATCAGGGCTGGATGTCCCGAGGCTCCTGTACTCGGGTGTAGTGGTCTGCCTTCTCAGCTCCAGACCCGCTTCGGCCTTATCTTGATCTGTGGGATCTCTGAGCCCCTGATGGCTCCCTTCTGCCCTTGAGTATTGGTGCCCTTAGGTTCGGTGGCTGCTACCTGAGACTTTCAAGGCACTTTAGGTAGAATGGGGTGCTCACACCTTTACTTCTAGCACTTTGACAGGCTGAGGTGGGAGGATTGCTTGAAGCCAGGAATGTGAGACCAGCCTGAGCAAGAGCAAGATCAAGATCCTGTCTTTACCAAAAATAGAAAAATTGGCTGGACATGGTGACTCATGCCTGTAATCCTAGCCAGCTATGAGGCCGAGGCAGGTGGATTGCTTGAGCTTACAAGTTCAAGACCAGCCTGAGCAAAAAGTGAGACCCCATCTCTACTGAAAATAGAAAAACTGAGGCAAGAGGATTGCTTGAGCCCAAGAGTAGGAGGTTGCTGTGAGCTTTGACACCCGGGAGCTGGAGGTTGCATTGAGCTTTGATGACGTCACTTCACTCTAGCTGGGAGACAGAGTGACACTCTTGTCTCAAAAAAAAAGGGACTTTAGGGGCCATTAGTTCAGAAGTTACAAATTGGCCAATATTTTGGACTCAAACTTTCAAAAGTTTAATAGGCAAATGTAAATTCTGTTAGCAGAACCAGGACTTGAGCCCAGGTTCTCATTCATGTTCTTCTATGTGGTACTTCTCCCATGGGTTGAGGGTGTTCCCTGCCTGAGCTGGGCCCCAGTCAGCCTTGGTTGTCCCTGTCTGAGTTTCCCATAGCCTCAGGGTCCTCTGCACTGCTTGGTGAGGGGGCACTGCTTGGTGAGGGGGCCTGTGGCCGGTGTCTGATTCAGCAGAGTGAATGGAGCTCAGTAGGGGCTCAGCACACCTGTGTTCCCTCAGCTGGCCCTGTTCCTGTCTCCTTCCCCTCTGGGCCTGCTGAGCTTTCCCAGGTGGCTGGGGTTTGGTCCTGGATCTGGGGTGAAGCCCACCCTGTATGTGCGTCGTCTTCTCTATCCAGGAGCTGTATGCGGCCGGGGAGAACCGCCTGGGAACAGATGAATCCAAGTTCAATGCAATTCTGTGCTCTCGGAGCCGGGCCCACCTGGTGGCAGGTAAGGCAGTGTGGGTCCTTCTAGGGCAGTGGTTCTCAACCTTCCTAATGCCATGACCCTTTAATGCAATTCCTCATGTTGCGGTGACCCCCAACCATAAAATTATTTTTGTTGCTACTTCATAACTGTAATTTTGCTACTGTTAGGAATTGTAATGTAAATAACTGATATGCAGGAGATCCCCAAAGGGGTCACGACCCACAGGTTGAGAACCGCTCCTCTAGGGGCAGTTAGATGAGGGTAGACAGGTTACTGTGGGGAAATAGAGCTTGTGGATACATTGGTTCCTCTCTGCTGGGGCTTTCACTTGCCTCAGAAGAGCCCCCTAGTGGTGGTTTGAAGGATTCGGTGACAGGACGGTGGGTGGGGAATTTCTGAGTCTAGTAAGCACCTGGTTCTGGGGGAAGTGAAAGAAGAGGTGAGGAAATGGGCCCCTCCTATTGCCCAGCACTTTTTTACACTGGAATGTGGAATATTAGAGTTGAGAGAGCCCTCGGCACACCTGATCCAGTGATTCAGTGGCTGCTACCTGAGGCTTTTAAGTGTAGCTTAAGAAACAAGCATAACTGTAATTAATACTAGACAACATGCATTTTACTCATTCATGCAACAGCTGTAAATTGAGCTCCCACCACGGGCTGTCTGTCAGGGATGGGGCGGGCATGAAAGAGTGATAGGGAGCAGGGCACAGTCTGTGCTCAGGGGTGTATAGACAATAAACAAAACTAGATGAATCTTGCAGAGAAGAAAAAACCTGGAAGCAGGGGTAGGGAGTGATGGGTACAGTCTGGGGAGGTACTGGGCAGTCCGCACTGAGGCAGTGGCTCTGATTTAAAGACCCAAGGGAGGTGCATGTGCAGAGGTGCTCCCTGGACTGGGGATCCTTGTGGTTGAGGATGGTGAAGGGGCCTGTGTGACTGGAACAGATGGAGAAGGTGAGGACAGAGACAGGAGAAGCAAGTTCACTGGCTGTGGTGCTGAGAATGGAGTGAAGGGGTCCCTGGCCAAGCAGGGCTGCAGTGGTGACTCAGGCTAGGGTAGTAGGGCAGAGGAGTCAGAAGGGGCAGGTTACAGGCTGCTTGCTGATGACTTGCACGTGGCATGTGGGAGGAAGAGTCAAGGATGATGTGGAGCATCAAGTGGCCCTGGGCTGAGCCTGGGGAGCAGTGGGTGGAGCAGGCTTTAGGTGTGGGGACAGTGGAAGTCTGCAGAGTCAAGGGGCAGGGAGGCAGTGTGCTGATGAGTCTGGAGGTCAGGAGGGGTCTGGGCTGGATGTGAAAGTTGGCAGTTGCGAGTGGTTGAAGGTGTCAGGCTCTGGGACTAGAAGAGATCCCCTCAGGAGGGAGGATGGAGAGGACCCAGTGGCTTGATGATAGCACCCTGGACCAGTGGAGGACACTAAGAAGGAGAAGCCAGTGTGGTGAGAAGACCAGGGGGAAGGGGAATCCAAAAGGCCAGTGTGTCACAGTGGCCCCTGTGAGTGGCAGGTGAGGACTGAGGCTGGTGACTGTGCTGAGCAACATGTAGGGCTCTGGCCAGGGCTGCTTTGGGGGGTGGCAGGGCTGAACCTTGCTGTGCACCATCCCCTGGGCTGAGTGCTGAACGCATGCTAAGCATGCGTGAATACATGAAGTCAGGCACTGTGGTCTTCCCCATTCCACAGCCATGGAAGCAGCACAGGGCAGTTGGGGAAGCTGGTCACACAGCTAGGAAATAGCCAAGCTCTAATTTATCCAGGCCTTCTGGCCCCAGAACACACATTTCAACCTCCACACTGTCCTGAGGTGCAAGTGAATGTATTGATCTCTATTGTTACTTATTGTAATGGTATAGAATACAGAAATAGCACATCAAGTCCATGATTTCACTAATGTTATTACTTAGGAGAAAATAGTAGCTGATTTGAAGAAAATATTAAATAAAATGGATACCGATGCTGAAATCACAATGGAAACTGAGACCCAGGGTGGGGAAAGAGAGGTTTATATCTTCTCTCCAAAAGCTGGAGCTTGTAGGACTAGGTCTCCATGGTGCCACTTGCCTCTCTAGGAGCTGACAGTCCACTCCTGTGGGTGTGCACAGCTTGTTCTAGGTTGACTGTAGGAGATAAGCTCCCTTTGCTCAAGACATGGCAGTTCGCCTCAATGTGCTCCTTCAGGAGATTGTTTTTGGGAAGCATTTCCTTGAGGTTTGAGCTTCTGTAATGCAGAGTGACTCGCCCTAGGCGGTGTGGAAAAACAGCTGAGGTGTAAGCTGGGGGTGGAGCTGGGGGTGGACAGACTGGGTCTTCGAGCATTGGGTTCTATTCTCTGTCTTCTTCCTTCATTAGCATTATAATGTGTAACTTCACTTTGGGCCAGCAAGAACAGACAGCCAGGCTCCCTAATGTTTTTACTTTAAACAAAATCAATTGTATAAGTGTTCCTCGGCCTTCACACTAAATTGTAATCTTAAATGGTAGTGCAGTTCTTTCCTCTGCGTCCCTGATCAGAAGCTCCAAAGAACATAACACCGAGAGTTGACCTGGGCTAGGGGGCAGGGAGGGCAGCAAAAAGCAAAGCTGATTGGGCTGACTTGTCCTCAGGTAATAGTCAGACTGCAAATGACAGGCAGGGCATGAAATGATAGCAAGGCAACTGCATGAACAGAAGTGTGGAAACTTAGGATGAGAGGGAACACTGTATTGGGTCTTGGCGGGGAGTCCTGGGGGAGATTAAAGTATAATTCAGGTAAGCAGAGTGGCAGTCCAGTAAGGGGGCCACACAAGGGAGGGTGTCAGGCAATGCGTGTGACTTCTGAAAAAAATGTCTGGCTGTCTTGAGAGCTAGTAGGTGTGGGAATAGGGTGGGAGAGTGTCCTCCCACAGGGCAGGGGCTGCCTCCTGTGAGTCCTCTCCTAGTCTGCTGGGACAGAGGCTGGGAGTCCAAGGTCAAGATAAAGGCAGTGTTTGTTTCTTCTGAGGCCTCTCTTCCTAGCTGTGTCCTCCTTTTAATGGCCTTGTTGTAACTTAATTACCTCTTTAAAGACCTTCTCTCCAAATACAGTTATATTCTAAGATATGAGGGGGGAGGACTGGGACTTAAACGCATAAATTTTAGGGGTCTACAATTCAGACTGTAACATACCCCTTTTGTCTTTCTGTTAGTTTTCAATGAATATCAGAGGATGACCGGTCGAGACATCGAGAAGAGCATCTGCCGGGAGATGTCTGGGGACCTGGAGCAGGGCATGCTGGCTGTGGGTGAGTACCTCAGCCTTGCCTCACCACTGGGGGCTGGCCTGTGTTGTAAGTTCTCAGGACACTCACCCATCCTCTAGCTTAGAGGTAGTGTAGTGAAAGAACCACAGAATCCAAGATTGTGAAATCCAGAGTGTCCGAATGTGGGCAGCCATGCCGCTTCCCGGATCACTGCGTTGTTGAACCCCCGGCTGTCCTGGAGGTGTCCTGTTTGTATTTCCAGCACAGCCGTGGAGAAGGGAGCTGCAGTGTGGGTATTAGTGGGAAGGCGTCCAGCCGCTCTCTCGGAGGAAGATGACTCATATCCTGCCAAGCTTCCTCTAAAAATACATCCCTGCAGGCAGTTGTCAGATGTTTGTGATGGGAACACGTGGAAAGATTTTTAGTTGCAACAGCAAAACAGGCCCATGCTGAGGAAAGCTGGCTCAGCTCCTAGGGTGGTGGTGCTGTGCCGCCTAGAGGGCCTGTGTCCTCCCAAGCAGGGCTGACGGGCTCCGGGTCTCTCCCCACCATGAGGAGTGAGTCCCTGATCTGCTGCTCTCGAAACCCTCTTTATATTCACTTAGGAAAACCAGTTAACCCATCTTTTCACCATGCACTACTTGGAGCTCTCTGGGTGGGACAGGTGATAAATTGTCATTTCCCTGAGTATCCTCCTGGTGGGTCTTGCGCCCGAGAACCCTAGGGAGACACTCATTTTGCTCGTCTTCCCTTCCTCCAGAAGGGTCTTGGCCTCTCCTGTTCGTCCCTCCTGTCTGAGCAGCAACATGCTTCCTGGTTGCCATTCACATTTCATCCCTACTCAAGTGTCATTAAATCCCTGGCCCCTCCAGTTCTTCCTCCGCTCACCCAGTGTTGCCAGGAAAGAGGTTGGGTTAGTGTCTAAGCTTTGCCTGTTACTGTTCCAAAGAGCTGGAGCCAAAATCATGGGATAATAGAGCCTGGAAGAGCAGAGAAGATGGATGCAGTGCTGGGTTTGACATCTGGGCCTCCGAAGAGGACACTTGGGTACTCCGTGCCCCGTTGGGCTGAGTTTTCTGCAGGTCTAGTTATGCTGAGTTTCTTTCTTCTAGTGAAATGTCTCAAGAACACCCCGGCCTTCTTTGCTGAAAGGCTCAACAAGGCCATGAGGGTATGTAACTCCCTTATGCGGAGAGGTCAGGTCAGGATGTCTTGGCCTCACCTGCCACTGGGACCAGGGGCTGAGGGTGGAAGGCCTGGGGAGAGCCACACCTTAGCCAGGAGGTCCGAGGGCAAGAGGGTGGGGAGGCACAGATGCCTGTAGCTCATGCTCCTGGGGGGATTCTCTGTAGGGAGCAGGAACAAAGGACCGGACCCTGATTCGCATCATGGTGTCTCGCAGTGAGGTTGACCTCCTGGACATCAGGTTGGAGTACAAGCGGATGTATGGCAAATCACTGTACCATGACATCTCGGTAAGAGCCCTGGGCTCCCTCTTAATGTCCCCCTCATCTGTGGACCTCCCTGGTACCCCACCCTACCTTCTTGCACCACCCATGTGCTTGGCCTCTGTGGGACTCATTTACTTGCTGTCCTCATTGGCTTGCTGTCCTCAGTTTGTTCATCCAACACCCCCCTCCCCCAGTAGACTATAAGCTCCTGGGGGCAGGATGGGCCTTGAGCCTTGGGTTGGCCCCAGCCTCATTTGCCCACCGGTAGCATCAGAGAAGCTGCAGGATCTCATTTGTCTTGGGCCTGACCTTCAGAGTCCAGGCTCCTTGTGGTTCTGTGGTCTCCGTGAGAACTCATGTTGCGTCTGACTCACTCAGCTTTGTGTTGACATAGCCTGGCTGGCCAGTCAGGGCAAGGGCCCTGGGGGCATTTTGCCTGGAGTCCAGTCCCGGCTTTTCTCCTTGCTAATTGTGTGACCTTAAGCAGTTTCCTTAAACCTCCCTGTACTCCTGCTCCATGATTTTTAAGATGGGGAAAATAATAGTTCTCCCTAAGAGTGTTGTGGTTATGGAACGAGGCAATCCATGTCAAGTGCCTGATAAATACTGCCTCCTGCATCTCATCATGTGCCAGGGCCAGGCTGACAAAATGTATTCTTGTCTGGATGGTCTTGCAGTTAAATCTTGAACTCACATGAACTCTGAAATTGAATCACGGGGATCAGGTGCTGACTTCAGACTCACTGGCATTTGGTGATGTTGGCCTGTCATTGAGGAAGGCTAACCTCCAAGCCATGCGAATGATGCAGCAGATAGAGAATTAGTGATGATTTACCCCCGTGGGCCAGTGGGCTTGGAAGTCTGGAGAAAGCTGTAGGCCCTGCCCTCAAATTGCTTAGGGTGGAAGGAAGTGATGAGAAACTAGTCAAACCTGGCCTGCACTCCTAGGGTAAGTGCAGTGGTCTGGGAGGGAGCTGGGCAGCCTGGGTCCTGCTTTGAATGGTCACACCCAAGGAGACTGCGTTTCCTAAGCTGAGCCCACCATTTCATTATGGCACAACTCCAGTTTGGTGCAACACAAGTGCACTGGGAAACAGCAGTATTGGTTAGCCTTGGGTAGTGATTTGTAGGCTGATTTAAATTTTTTTTGGTGTTGGCTGGGTGCAGTGGCTCACGCCTATAATCCTACCACTCTGGGAGGCCGAGGTGGGTGGATTGCCTGAGCTCACTGGTTTGAGACCAGTCTGAGCAAGAGCAAGACCCCATCTTTAAAAATAGCAAGGCATTGTTGCAGGTACCTATAGTCCCAGCTACTTGGGAGGCTGAGGCAAGAGAATATCTTGAGCCCAAGAGTTTGAGGTTGCTGTGAGCTATGACATCAGGGTCAGGGCACTTTACTGAGGGCAACAAAGTAAGACTCTGTCTCAAAAAAATAAATAAAAATTTGGGAGTGCCTATTTGACTTGAATAATTAGGGCAAGTGGTGGCGCCTGTAGTTCAAGCGGCTAAGGCACCAGCCACATACACCAGAGCTGGCAGGTTTGAATCTGGCCTGGGCCTGCCAGACAATGACAACTACAACCAAAATATAGCCGGGTGTCGTGGCGGGCACCTATAGTCCCAGCTACTTGGGAGGCTGAGGCAAGAGAATTGCTTAAGCCCAGGAGTTTGAAGTTTCTGTGAGCTGTGACACCATGGCACTCTGCCCAGGGCTATAGCCTGAGGCTTTGTCTCAAAAAAAAAAAAATTGGGGCAAGTGTAGGTTTTTGCTTTTTACTAGGGGCCTGGGGAAGGCTGACCTGCACTGTCCCACCGTCTGTGGTGCCTGCCCCAGGCCTAGCAGGGTGGAAAATTCCCCTTCGAGGGGATCTGTCTCTCAGTAAGGGTGTTTGGGCCAGAAGAAAATCAGGAGCCAATAGGCTGAAAGTAGCTGTGCCCCCTTCAGCTGATACCTTCCTTGTTTCTGTGGCCAGGGAGATACTTCGGGGGATTACCGGAAGATTCTGCTGAAGATTTGTGGTGGCAACGACTGAGCGGTTACTGGCGGCTCACTGCTCCCACCTGCCGCCGCAGTGGTGCCAGGAAAAAGGCCAAAAGAATGTCTGTTTCTGACAAATCCACAAATAGCCCCAAGGTGTGCTGCCCACAGCGCCGTGACCCTGTCCCCTACCCTACTGATCCACGTGTTGTGCTGAGGGACCTGGGTCAGTCTAGAACTCTCTCAGGATGCCTTTTCCACTCCCACAGCCTCTTGCTGCTATGTAGATGTTTTATTTCCTGACTGGTTCGGTTGTTGCCCCTTGCTTGTGGCTAAGACTCTTGGCTTCATTTAGTCGTGTAATTTTATATTTTTATTTGGAGGCATATTCTCTTTCTCACAGTCATTGCCAGCCAAGATGCCTACGAGTCTGTTTGCTGCGTACACATTTCTGGTGAGAGTGATTGGGTGGGTAGAGTGCCGTGTCCTCACTGAGAAGAAAAAGGGAGGCCCCCTCAAGCTAATCTTTGCGTCTGGTGAAAATGTGTCATGAGCTTTGTTATTGCCAAACCCGTTCCTTTTTAGAAAAAAGAAAAAAAGACCAGAAAGTCATCTGTTCCATCTTCCATGAAAAACCATGAAAATAAAGCCAGTTCCCTGGCAGTGACAGGGCTTCTTGTAATTTGGAATGTGCCTTAAACCTGAATGTCTGTAGCCAAAACCTGTTTCCAAATTAAAAGCCAGCCAGCTCTGGAACACTCTGGAAATGTCTTTTTGGTGCCAGCTTGTTTTTCTTGTGCTTCGTGATAATACCCCATGGCTTGGGGTTCTGGCCTTATTAGCCAGTGAAAATTCATGTAACTTTAAGTGGACCTGTGTGCTCAGGAAACCCTGAGCATAACTAATTTGTAGGGCCTGGGCTATAAGGACATGAGGAAGGAGGCTCCTGAAGTATATGCCAGGGCCCAGACACTGGAAGGGCAAGGGATCTAGGTTGGGCACTAGGTGTAGTAAAGTCCCTTAAAGGTGAGGCGGAAAGAATGTGGTCCCTCACCCAGGTCCTGAAGGAGGGGCACAGGTGGGTAGAAAGGTGTCTACTAATTCCTGGGTCTCTGTAGTGGGCCGGAGAGGAGGAGGCAGATGACCCAGAGAGGCCCAAGGCCAGTGCCTTCTCTCAGGGACCCTCTAGTCTAAAAGGTGGTCCTGGTCCCTGGGGGGCCCTGTGCCCTTCAGTTGATAGCGTTAGGAGAGGGGGAATCCAGCGGAACAGTTTCTAGGAATCATGGTGCTACATCCAGCAGCCCAGAGCTGGCCTTGCTGGTCAGGGGTCTCCACTCTTTTCCAACCTGTGTTGAAAAAGGGGAGTAAAGTAGATCAAGCCTGCTAGGCCCGGTGGGGGCCTGAGTGAGTTGCTTATCTGAAGAGTAGACTCTTCTCTGCCCTAAAACACAGTGAGAGGAAGGGTGACACCCAAGGGGCACAGAGCAGCCACGAGCTGGGCATGAGCCTGGTCTATTAGGCTGCCTTCCTGACCCAAAGGCCAATGTGAATGCTGGGATTGATGCAGATCCTGGTCAATAATCAGCTCGGCCTTACTACCCTCACCTGGAGCCCAAGTTGATCACCCATGGTCTTCAAAAATCTCTGCTCTATGGCACCTACTTGCCCTTGGATGTCAGCTGGAACCTGTCTGATGGGAGGAACTGCTTGGCATTATACAACTTGCCCAGAACTCGGGCTGATCCTGGTGGCCTTCTGAGCTGTAACAGTATTCTGATGTTACTGAATATTCTTGACATTACTTTGCCCTATTGTCTGTATAGAGGTCTCAGCCTGGTGCCCAGCAGTCAGTATTGAGCCTGCAGAGCAGTGGTTCTCAACCTTCCTAGTGCCCCAATGTATTTTCATTGTTAAAAAGGTGTTGCAACCTACAGGTTGAGAACCTCTGCTGTAGAGGCATTTACTAGGGTCCCCAAAGAGTCTTTTCAGAAATTTATTTATGTTAAAAAAAAAAATTGAAATCCTAGCTTCTTTTGAAAACCCAGAAATTACAGCATTTCTGGTCTGCATTCCTGCACAGCTAGAACAGAGTTGCAGCTGCCCCCTGTAGGCAGCTACTTCCTGTTTGCCACAAGACCCCCTACTCCCTGATGTATCACATCAAGCCCCCGTTAGCTGTTTGGCTCCTGCAGGCCTTTGAGTCTGACACCTCAGGTCTACACACCTGGGTACCACCTATGCTTTTCCCAGTCCTGGTTCTCCCGGTCTCCCTTTGGCCATGTAGGAGAGATCTAACCCATGGTAAGTATGGGCTCAAGGACTGTGTGAATTCCTCATTGAGATCTTGCTAGAGGCAGAGGCCTTACTACCTTTCAAGGTCAGCGAGAGGTTGGTATCAACACTTGATTTTGATCAAGACAAAATAGATGGGGAGGAAGACAGGTGATCTGGGAGAAAACACATTGGGTCTTTTCCTGCCTCCTGGATATGTTGGTCAAGTCCAGGCCATGCTACACATGTGAGCTCACTCCTAAAATAGCTACTAGAAGATGAAGCATCAGATAAATTTTGCCCTGAGTGAATTGTAAGCAGCTGTGGGGGCATTGAAAGGATCTGTTAGGGGTAGGACCAGGACTAGGGTGAGGTGAGTGAAGCATTTGTCTCAGGTACAAATTTAGGAAAGCAGCCTTTGAGTTCACCTTGTGGGCAGGTTGACAGTCCTGAAGTGGGTGGTTTTCTCAAGCCCTGGTAAACATCAGGATCAGGAAGCAGGTCCTGGACCGTTCACTCCCAGATTCTGAGCAGGTATGGGGCTGGAAACCACATCTGTAACCTGCTATAAGCTGATGCCAATCTTAAGTACTTCTGTGGTGAGGCAGAGAACTCAATGCTACAGGTGTTCATGCAGAGGGCAGATGAGCAGATAGCAGGGTGTGCCAGGTTATGGGAGGCGGGATGAGGCATTCCTGGCTTCTGGAAGAGGAATCTGAAAGATGGACCTTTGCAGGTGCCCATAGTCAAGGTGACAGCTGAATGCCACATCATGTCCATCCTCTGTGAGTGTAGGCAGAGAGTTACAGTCTTAGCCCAGGACCTGGCCCCTCGTTTCTGCTACAGGCTCTTTCCTCTCCTGGCTGGTAAGTATGAATGGAATGAGACTTGGAAACCAGTCAAGCTAAATACATTTCCTCAAGCACATAAAGGCTTACATTTTCATCCCGTCAAACCCAAAAACACTCTCTGCCTGTGTTCCTCTAAGGAACAGGGACATCATAACTCAATCCCTTATCTGTCCCATACAGAGTCCCTGTTCAGTAAAGGAGTCAGTCAAGCCTCCTACTCTACCAGAGACTCTTACTCTAGGAGCCCCTGTTCCTTGGAAAGCTGCCCCTTGGCCTAGTACTGGTGGTCAGCTTGAACCTGGTTCCATCTCAACAGTAGGCTGTTACAATCCTGAAGCAAAAAGAGCTGTGGCCGGGGAATCTATCCTGATCTCAGCTTAGCTACGGGTTTGCTGAGTGACCCATACATCAGTTCTCTTTGGGCTTTTGTGAAATGAGGGGCAGACCAGACCTGAGCTTCTGAAATTTTAATGTGGTCAGGAAAAATGGTGGAACAGCAGGTCTAAAAGTCTGTCCTTTCACAAAAGAGCAAACAAGCTGGCAGAAACTGTCAGAATCAACTTTATTTGAACTCTGGAAACTAATTGAAAGTTTATAGCAACTGGGGAATGGGAAAGGAAAAAAAGGCTGAATTCACTAAGAGTTTTGTTTTCCAGCTTACCCTAGCCCCATACCCTCTCCCCAGTTTGGCAGAGCATTAAAAACAATAGCTATATTGTAAACATTCTCTATATAGGTTTCGAGCCCTGGAAGAGGCAGAATCAACCTTATTCTCAAGAAGTTTTTCTTTTTTTATTTTGGCTTGTCAAGTTGCTCCCTGAAAAATGGGCTCAAATGACTTGCTTTTATTTTGCCTAACTTAGAATTCTCCTGAAGTGAAGGTGGCAACCTGAGAGGACATTTCAAAGGATTTCAAAGGCAGTGTTTAACCACTGATGCCTGGGGCAAACTGGACAAACTGAAAAGCTTGAAAGGCTAAGAAATAAAGATTCTTTGAGGGAGTAAGAGCTTTAAAGAACTCACACATATACATGTTCTGGGAATCTAGAAGGCCATACATATGGGTTGGGCATGTGCTTAGAAAAGGCTTAGGGACCTGTCCTCTCATTTCTAGCTGAGCTTCAGGTTGTGCATGAGCAAGAAGGCTAAGGTGGTTATAAACTGCCTGGCTGAGTGCTGAAAGGTGCGCCCAACACAGAAAATACATCTGCAAAGGCTGAGGTGGGGGGTGTCCAGGTGTTTCTAGAAAGCTGTTAAATCACTAGCTGACCACTAAGGTAATTAAACAGAGACTTCAGTGGTCATACCAAAGAATAAAAAACTTAAAAATGTAGTTCAGAAAAGAAAAAAAAAGCACTACAACAAATACAAAGGGGTAAGAATTTGATTTCCAGAGTTCCCACATTATAATATTAAACATGTCCATTTTTCAGCAAAAATTATGAGGCATGCACAGAAACAAAATAGGGCTCATACAAAGGAGAAAAAAGTCTGTAAGTAGCAACTAAGGAAAGCCTACACATTGGACTGAACAAGGACTTCAAGTCAATTATCTTAAAAATGTTCCAAGACCTAAAGGAAATCAGGAGAATGATGTCTCACTGAATAGAAAATGTCAATGAAGAGACTGAGATTACAAAAGGAACCAAATAGAAATAAGGAAATTGAAAAGTACAACAAAGTGAAATATTTACTAGAGAGGTTCAGGAGCAGATTTACGTAGGCAGAAGAGGCTGGACACATTTGCTTACACCTGTAATCCCAGCACTTTGGGAGACAAAGGTGGTAGGATCACTTGAGACCAGGATTTGGGGACCAGCCTGAGCAACATAGTGAGACACTGTCTCTACAAAAAATAATTTAAAAAAAATTAGCCAGGTGTAGTGGTATGGTCTGGAGCCCCAGCTACTTGGGAAGCTGAGGCAGGAGGCTTGCCGAAGCCAGAGTTTGATGCTGTAGCCGTGAACTATGGTCATGTCACTGTACTCCAGCCTAGGTGATAGAGTGAGACCTCATCTCAAAAAAAAAAAGTCACAGGAAAGGAGAGAAAGCAGAAATATTTGAAGAAAAATTGGCTAAAAACTAAATGAAAGACATTGATCACCTGAAAAGTTCAATGAATTATAAGTAGAGTCAGCCCAAGGAGATCCACATCAAGACATTATAATCGAAGTGTCCGAGGACCAAGATAAAATCCTAACAGCAGAAATAGCAACTTGACACAAGAAATCTTCAATAAAATTAAGTTTCTCATCAGAAATTATGGAGGCAAGAGGGCAGTAGGATCCTATGTTCAAGGTGCTGAAAGAAAAAGCATGGTCTGGCAAGGCACAGTGGCTCATGTCTATAATCCCAGCACTCTGGGAGGCCAAGGTGGAAGGATCACTTGAGACTGGGAGTTTGAGACCAGCATAAACAAAAGTGAGATCCCCATCTCTACAAAAACCAGAAAATTAGCCAAGCATTGGTGGCACTTCCTTATAGTCTCAGGAGATTGAGTCAGGAGGATCGCTTGAACCCAGGAGTTTGAGATTGATATGAGCTATGCCGATGCCACTGCACTCTAGCCCAGGCAACAGAGTGAGACTCTATCTCAAAAAAAAAGAAGAAAAGAAAAAGCATGGTCAAGCAAGAATCCTATACTTAACAAAATATCCTCTAAAAAATGAAATTAAGGGCAGTGCCTGTGGCTCAGTGAGTAGGGCGCTGGCCCCATATACCAAGGGTGGTGGGTTCAAACCTGGCCCTGGCCAAACTGCAACAAAAAAATAGCCGGGCATTGTGGCAGGTGCCTGTGGTCCCAGCTACTCAGGAGGCTGAGGCAAGAGAATTGCTTACCCCAAGAGCTGTAGGTTGCTGTGAGCTATGATGCCATAGCACTCTACCAAGGGCAACAAAGTAAGACTATCTCTAAAAAAAAAAAAATAATACAAATTAAGACATCTGGATAAATAAAAACTGAGTTTGTGGCTGGTAGACCTGCCCTTCAAGAAATGCTAAAGCGGAAATGAAAAGTCTACTGGATAGTAACTTGAGTTCAATTACTTGATTGGACAAAGAAGGCGCTGTAGGTATAGGGTCACTCTGTCAACAGACACAGGGGACCAAAGGAGTAGCTTTTATTTTACACAAAGCTGGGGAAGGAAGGTGAGATGTGGCTCCATCCTTGGAGGGGTGCTGTCTGCAGGTGTATTACCCCCAGCTATGGGGCTCCTCCACCACAGTGCTCAGAAGTGATCTGAAAGAAAGGTGTTGCCTTGGAGTGAGTGAATGGGACGGGAGTGGGGGTGGGGGTGGGGGTTGGGGGTTGGAGGGTCCTCCACCCAGTGGTGCCCTGCAGCTTTTGTCCCTCCCCTTCCTCCTCTGGGAGCTCTTCTCAGGGAATGTGGACTCAGGAAAAGAGCAGGTGCAACCCCACAGTGCCTGATCAGTGCATGTCTGTCTTCCCTGACTAGGTTTGGAGTTGAACAGGGGAGGGTGCTCAGAGGGACATGAAGGGAGCCGAGCAGCTATGTTGTCATGACAAAGGCCAGTGAAGGTGGTGGCTTTTCTGCCTCAGGGCTCTGCTGAGGGTGCATCTTGGATGAACAGTGTTAGCTATTCCAGAGCCCTGACCTGACACTGGGTTGCACCAACCCGGGTGCGGACCATCTGTGGCAGTGCATTCCAACTTGTGTCCCCAAAAGGAGCTGCAGCTCTTCCTGCTTGACCAGCCTACGCCCGAGCAGTGGAATGGCCATCTCTGTCTTGCCTGCCTAGTCCCAGGTGACAGAGGCTGTTCTCTGCCATCAGAGCCACTCACCATCTCCAAGGAGGTCAGGGGCTGGGCTGGAGGGCCCTGGGGGCAGGTTCCAAGACAGCTCATGCAGCAGGCCCAGCAGGCCTTTCACTTCTGTCTCCAGATGCTCCACTGTCTTCTCCAGTGTCTAGGACAGGAGAGGGCAAAGGCAAGGATGAGAGTGGTGCCACGTCCTGCTTCATCAACCACATGCTAAAAGCACCTTGAGGTCCAGGGGGTGCAGGGGAGAGGACTGGGTGCCTCATTCAGCCTACGCCTCTGCCTGCCTTGGTTTCCCCAGATGACAAAATGCTAAGGGGCTCACTCTCCAAGGCCCCTTCCTGTGTGGCACTAAGTAGTTTTGCTCAGTGACAGGATTGGTTATAGAGCAGCTCTGGAACACCTTTTCCTTTTTAGACTTGGCAACCGAGAGCTCACATTCCTTTTGTTGCCCCGCCCCCTGGTGGCACCTCTGCCAAATGACAGGTTTGGAATTTTTTTTATTTTTATTAAATCATAAGCGCATAGATCATGTATACATTAACACATTATGGGGTATAATGTGCTGATTTCATATAGAATTAGGAACGCTTACATCGCACTGGTTAATATATGCCTAGTCTCGTTTACTTATTGCGTTAAGACATTTATACTTTATACTTAATAGATCTGACATGTACCCTTGCAATGTGCACCATAGGTGTGATCCCACCATTCACCCTCCCTCAATCTGACCTCTCCCCCTCCCCTGACACCCCCTCTTCTCTCCTTCATCCTGGGCCATAGTTGTGATCTATTCTTCATATGAAAGTGTGAGTGATTGTAAATTGGTTTCATAATAGTACTGAGTACATTGGATATTTTTTTCTCCCATTCTTTGAACTTTACTAAGTTCCAGCTCCATCCATGTAAATGTAAAAGAGGTAAAGTCTCCATCTTTTTTAAGCCTGCATAATACTCCATGGTATATTTGAAATTTTTACTCAGAATTTCTAGTTTTCGCATGTGAGTGCCAGACCCTGCTGGCTATCTGGTAAAGCCTACAGACTTCTCAGAATAATGTTTTAAGTGCAAAAAATAACACACAGAATCACCAAGGACACCAATTATATCAAAATATTCAATTGTTAAAAATTAAATATTTGGTGTAATACTATATATGTGTATTAACCTACAAAATCACATGATCTAACATCAGACCTAACACCTACTGAAATTTGACATAATGAGGAACATAAATGATATGGGGAGATATTCATAACAACTATGACAAGATGAAGTTATCTGGTAATTTCTATTGATGACAACGTCACTGTTAATACTATGATTTGCTGTCTGTATTGGAATGAATAAATTTTGTCAGAGTTTCAGTGAAATTTAGCACTCTCATTTTTTAGGCTTGTGATAATAAAGATTAATTTTTTTTGGACCCTAGGTTAGGAACCTTGGCTATATAACAAAACACAGCGAATTTCTACCTTCCTATCTGATAATTATGCAGAGATCTCTGGGTGGGTGTAAGCAAGGCCCCAGGAGAGGCAGGGTCTGCTGAGGGCTGGTTTGCCCAACAGCCTAGATGGGGCAGGAGACTGTTAATCTGGTGAGCATGGGGCAGGATTGGCCTGGATTTCCTGACATCCCAAAGAAAGCTTGCATCTGCACCCCATAAAGCCACTGGCCTGGCAGGTGGTCCTGAAGCCATGTGTCCTCCCAAACCACTCTTATTACCTCCTCCATGATGTCTAGACGGCTTTGGACAGCCATGTGTCTGTCACACCCTGTGCTCTGAGCTGGGCCTCCGTGGGAAGGGCTGAAAGGTTCTGTAGCTGTGGGAAAACAAATCTTGTCACTGTGGGGCCTTCGGTTTGCCTGTAACACCAGAGACTCCTGTAAAACACTGAGCTCAAGTAAGGTGGGTCCTGCAGATAACAGGTGAGCAGAGGAGGGCTAAGGCGTGGATCTGCATGTGTGATCCCCTTAGTTCCTCACTCGTCTCTGTGTACATGCTCACCTGCAGACCGAGGTGGACTTCCTCAGGGAGATTGTGCCTGAACTAGGAAAAGTCCAGATGGGAGGCCAGGGAGTATGGCACTGGCAAAGACAGGGGCATGACAGAGAATGGTTCAGGGTGCACAAATGGAAAGGGGCGGCCTTGCAAAAATTACAAAAATAACAGGAAAATACCTAAAGCTGCAATTTTCTAGTAACAGTTAAAGATCATGCCTATAAATTCTCTTGCTAACAGGCACCCTATCCCATGGGAATTGTTTTGTGCAACTTCTGCAAAGGGCTGAACAGATGGGAAACATTAATCTTTCTCTTTCGAAATTGTAAGAATTTGTTTTCTACAGAGTTCCTGAGTAAATAGCAGAGAAGCAGCTTTGGACTTTAGCCATATCTCAAGGGCACACTGTGCCCCTCTCCTGTGATAGGTAATCCTGATAACCCCATCCCCAAAGAAAAGCAGAGGGGCCAGCCCTTAAGCTTTGACATCCAGCTCAACTTCTTTTTCTTACCTACCTGCCACTATGAACAAAGAAAGAAGTGGACTCAGCAGTTACTCTATGGTACCCTGCCAATTTGCAACCCCTTAATAGCAGTAAGCTTCCTGACCCTTGAGCAGGCATGTTTTTCTTTTCTATTTTGGGGATGACATGCGTCTCCCTGCTCTCTTTTCTCCCTCCCCTTCCCCACCTTTTTTCATTTTCTCACTCCTGTTCTTCTTCTAAGACTATAAAATTATTTTTTTTTTGAGACAGAGTCTCACTTTGTCACCCTGGGTAGAAGTGCTATGGATCAGAGCTCACTGCAACCTCAAACTCTTGGGCTTGAGCAGTCCTCCTGCCTCAGCCTCCGGAGTAGCTGGGACTACGGGTACCTGCTACAACACCTGGTTAGTTTTTCTATTTTTAGTTGAGACAGGGTCTCACTTTTGCTCAAGCTTGTCTCAAACTCCTGAACTCAGGTAATTCACCTGCCTTGGCCTCCCAGAGTGCTAGGATTATAGATATGAGCCCCCTTACCCAGCCCATATATGAATTTTTAAAATACAGAAAATGAAGGCAGTAGTGTAGTAATCAGGGTGAGAAGTGACGAAGGAGAAAAGATGAGTGTAGGCAGCAGCTGGATGAATAGAAAGGAAGAAAACAGGTAGTTGTGTGTACCTCAGCC